CCCATATAATCATGTGACCCCATTGTGTTGTAGAAAAAGTTCATCAACGAAAGATGGTGAAACAAAAAATGAAAGAAACAAACGTGACACCATAGCTCATCCAGTTTGATGTTACGTGAGCTATCAAAGAATTATCATATTTGCTTTTAATCAATCGATTCTTGATGAAATAGAAGTGGCCTTACTTTATTGTCGTGCTTCAGAATTCAAATTAAATTTATATTTAAAAACCCAGTTTCTTGTATCAAACAAATAATTTTCCGTTGAAAAATTCATTTTACAAAAAAATTCGAATTTTCATTGCCATAGAATTCCCCAATAACTATTTTCTCTTGGTCTCTCACACGATCTCACCACACTCTCACACACTCTTCTCCTTCTCTCTTTAACTCCTGTCTTTTTCTCTTTCATTATCACCTGTGCCTGCATGTCTTCTTCACCCTCTCCATTCCTCTATTTCTCATTTTTCTCTCTCTCCTACCCCCTTCTATCTCCCTCTTTCTTTCTCCCTCTGTCTCAATAAAATCTTATTTTAAAATTGAAAATTCCTTGTCTAAAAACCCATATGTTTCTAACAGAGACAGCCATTTTTTTTTTTTTTTTTTTTTACACACACTCACTCTCACTCACTCACACACACACACTCACACACTCACTCACACACACACACACACACACACACTCACACACACACACACACACACACACACACACACACACACACACACACACACACACACACACACACACACACACACACACACACACACACACACACACACTCACACACACACACACTCACACACACACACACACACACACACGGTTTTCAACCCTTAAAAAGACTTTAAAGCTTTCATTACTTCTCTCCACCGTTCGCAAATAGAAACTAAAAGCTGTTTCCAGATCCCCATCCCCACACCCCCACCCCCTACTCCCAGTTCACCAATCCCTGTAAATCGCCGAAACTGGAGTTATTTTGTATCGAATGTGAAATAGATGGAGTGCCAGGGAGCGGACTCGCAGGATGTTTAAGTCACCGATCGTATTAGTCACCGGAAGTGGGCTGGGATTTTCACCCCATCCAGCAGACGATCATGGCCGATCGAGTAGCGGCAAGTCAGTTGGTCAGTCTAATCAATTCACTCACTTCTGCTTCTTTAAACCTCTGGGCGGCTCGGTCGTGCAACGATAGATTTAGGGGCGAATAATTTCAAGTAAAAAAAATAGTGAAGTTATGAGTGCAAAGGCTGCGATAATATAAAGCAGAAGCTTTCAACATTGGGGATAGATGTACTGATTGCAAGTCCATTGTAGTTACATTAATTGTTCGTAGTGTATTTAAGAGCTCCATCTCTGGCTTGTGTTGAGAAAGTATTGAAAAGAGGAAGTCATTCTAGAACTACTGGCATCTTCTTTTCTACTCGCAACTACAGGACTTCAACAATATGTCCACAGACAAATACATTTTATTCCATCTTCGGGACTATATGTCATCAAAGATAGATTTGTTTTCTTCTTCACCTATATCTTGACATTTGTTTATGTTAGATTTACATACAAATATATTGGACAGATTTCTTCCTTTTTTTTAAAAAATAATTTCAGTTTCCGTTGTGTACTTAGAACTTATATCAAAGTACGGGTCCCTTGATATCAAAGTCCAGCTCCCTTGATATCAAAGTCCAGCTCCCTTGATATCGAAGTCCACCTACCTTGATATCAAAGTCCACCTACCTTGATATCAAAGTCTAGCTGCATTGATATCAAAGTCCAGCTCCCTTGAAATCAAAGCCTAGCTGCTTGGATCTCAAAGTCTAGCTCCCTTGATATCAAAGTCCAACTTGTCTCCTGCTACGTTTTACCTCTTAACTCGCCGATGGTTATTTTACTCGTATTTTCACCCAACAAACCAACTGAAATCATATCAAACTCCATTTCCATATCATCATCATTGATGTCAACCTCACGCAAATTAAAAGTTTCAATTTTCAAAAGTCCACAATTCTTGTCCGTTCAACATGTCCAACAATAAAGTCATCTACAACCGCCTCAGTTCTTTTCCTTGCCTTGGTCTCACAGCTAAATGCTTCTGCTATGTCCCATTTCATATGCTCATCATTATGTGATACAATGTGATACAATATGCTCAAATGTCTTATCTAAATCATTCACATTCATGGAAACGTTTCACAGTTATGATAATAAAACATCACATAGGGTAAATGTCAAGTCTTGTGATTGAGTGTTTAAGTCAGTGGCTCTCAAGTATCTTAATGCGACCCTTTAATACAGTTCCTCGTATTGGGGCGACCCCCAACCATAAAATTATTTTCGTTGCTACTTCATAAAAATGTGTTTTCCAACGGTCTTAGGTGACTCCTGTGTAAGTGTCGTTCAACACTCTCAAAGGGGTCGAGACCCACTGGTTTTAGAGCCGCTGGGTTGAGTAATGCACTGATTGGGAAATAGAGTCCGACTTTGCTTCCTCCGCTTGAAGTACAGATTTGAGTCTTGAAATGTAGGTTGAGTTGAATCAGGATCTGAGGGTAAATCCAATTCCTGGTCCTTGGTTAGAGTTACAGTGTGGACTGTGGGTAGATTTAAGTCATGGACTGAGGGTAAAGTTAAGTCATGAAATGTGGGTAGAGTTGAGTCATGGAATGTGTCTGTGGGTAAAGTTGAGTCATGGACTCTGTTTGTGGACAATGTTCTCTTTAAGCTGCGCGGCCGCGCAGCAATCTCACAGACGCCGCGCAGCAGTTTTGAGTACCGTGCAGCTAATTTCCACTTAAGTTTGTGTCTGTAGGCTGAACAATTTTGCGCAAAAAAAAATTGATGCTGTAAAAATGTGCACACAACTTTATGATTTTGCACACGAACCAACAAACCTTAGAGGGAACATTGTTTATGGGTAGAGTTATGTCCTTTACTGTAGTTCAGTGGTTGTCAACCTGTGGGCCGCGACCCTTTAGTTTGAGTCATCAAGGGTAAACAATTAATAAAGAGGTGTATTTGAAGTATGTGTGTGGGGGGGTTAAGGTCTTGCCCCATAATGCCACCACCTTTCACTACCTTTGCGGTAGCCTATCTAGAGTAGTAGATTGGTAGTCTTGACAGAGTACCGGGTAGTCTATCTAGAGTAGTAGACTGATTAGTATCGACAGCCATAATGAAGAATATCATATTTTTCACAAGTTTCCGTCTTACAAATGAAAATACCAAATTGTCCATGACGCCTTACAATACTTGACACTCGACAGGCCTGGCCGATGAACACTTTTAGGAGACATTGTGCAGTTTACTTCATGGAGAGGTGTAAAATATTGGATCGAAACTGGACTGTCCGACCCCACAGGGACTTTTCGGTAATTGTCAGAGGGCGTGGTAGTGAACCGAGTTCACCCCGAAAAGGCAACCCCCCGGTTGTAGTGCTATCGCAATGGGAGATCAGGAAACTGTATTGGAATTGGCGAATTCCTCAGACGCTCGCCGAGTTTTGTAGTGCGTTGTAGTTCAATGACGGTGGCATCAGCGCGAGTATCAGCTGGGTTAATATTATTTGAATTTGAGCACAAAAAGTAGCCAGAGGCGTTGGGATTATGGGGCAAGACCCTACACCACTCACACACAGCACACACTTCAAATACACATCTTCATTTATTGTTTACTCTTGGTGACTCAAACTAAGCAAAGTTTACTGTTTCAGTTTAGATAAAGATTACTTTTCTTTCTTTTAACCCCTTAATTTTAGATGAAGATTACTTCTATTACTAGCAGTTTAGATGCATACTACGTGAATTATTTAATAGTTTCAGAAAGAGATTCTACTAATTCATTCCTTACGTACACACACACACTCTTTAAAATGTTCACGCTTCCTTGTACGGAATGCGAGTTCAACACGATGATATAATTTGAACACTGTTGACGGTAATCTCCCAGGTATCTGCGGACGATGAGGACTTGATATTTCAGGAACAGCTGACCACCTGTCATTCGGGCCACCTCCAGAAGTGGCTGGGCGCCTTCTACGCCTACAAGGGGCTTTTGCTTGTGTTCGGGGTGTACATGGCCTGGGAGACCAGGCACGTGAAGATACCGGCCCTTAACGACTCACAGTATATAGGTCAGTAGTAAGTGGGTCATTTTAACTCGGTTGTTTATAACTAGGTCAATAGTGCGTAAAGCAAGAGTTAAGGAAGTAGAAGAATCTGCATATTAAACAGGCAGCAACACGAACAAATAAAAAGAAGTTATTTTTAAAGCGAGCTGTTAAGTCGCGAATTGCATTTAGTTTAGCTTAAAAGATTTATTTGCAAAATTATTCACTGAAATCAGTCATTCAATAGTTTGGCGGGAAGATGCCCATGCTGCTGTTTAGATTTGTTGACATTCAACACGATAAGATCTAGTAGGTTTTTCGGCCAGCTGAAGCGCAACCAATAAATAGTTTTATTGCTCAACAATCACCGCTATAAAAAAAGACATCTTTCTTTCTCTCCATCTACTGTAGACGTCTTTCTATCTCTCCATCTACTGTAGACGTCTTTCTATCTCTCCATCTACTGTAGACGTCTTTCTATCTCTCCATCTACTGTAGACGTCTTTCTATCTCTCCATCTACTGTAGACGTCTTTCTATCTCTCCATCTACTGTAGACGTCTTTCTATCTCTCCATCTACTGTAGACGTCTTTCTATCTCTCCATCTACTGTAGACGTCTTTCTATCTCTCCATCTACTGTAGGCGTCTTTCTTTTTCTCAATTTTTTTGTTTTCGTTTTTGTATTTCGTATCGGTCCAATTCTACTATAGTTCATTTCTAGCGCTAAGCAAAGCTAACAGTAGGGTTAACACTAAACATCCCACTAACCAACAAGAAGATGATTCCTCACCATTTTAATCTTTCCCATTACTGTTTTACCAACTATCTTCCCCACCCCCCACCCCAGGCCTGAACGTGTACAACGTGGTCATCATGTCCGTCAGTGTGGTGGTCATCTCCAACATTCTGTCCAACCAGCCCACCCTGGCCTACGCCATGGAAGCCTCCTTCATGTTCCTGTCCACCACGGTCACGCTCTGCCTGCTCTTCGTACCGAAGGTGAGCTTCATATTAGCAACACTTTCGCGCTGGGCCAACTTTCCACATTTGCAATTGGTATATGTAAGAATGTTACTTGATAGAAATGACTTAAGTTCGAGTATTATTGTGTCACATTTTTGGGGCAAAATCTTTTATGAGAAAAAAATACTACAGATTGCGATGAATGTCATAATATATTGTAAAGCTTGTAGTCAAAAGAGAAAGAAACAACAGGATTTTACTAGGTTATAAGCTGATTAACATAGGCTAGAATTGTTAGCATCCACCCGTCAACGTGAGACGATGGTGTAGCTTCTGTAGTATTGGCACTTCCTCGAATGACTTATAAGGCTGATCCCGAAGTGACTTATGAGACTGATCCTAATGTGATTTATGAGACTGATCCTGAAATGACTTATGAAGCCGATCCTGAAGTGGCTTATGAATCTGATCCTGAAGTGACTTATGAAGCTGATCCTGAAGTGACTTATAAATCTGATCCTGAAGTTACTTATGAATCTGATCCTAATGTGACTTATGAAGCTGATCCTGAAGTGACTTATGAATCTGATCCTAATGTGACTTATGAAGCTGATCCTGAAGTTACTTATGAAGATGATCCTGATTAAGAGGCTGATCCTGAAGTGACTTATGAGACTGATCCTGAAGTGACTTATGAGACCGATCCTAAAGTGACTTATGAAGCTGATTCTGAAGTGACTTATGAGGCGGGTGCTGAAGGGGCGTCACGGTCAGCAGGTGAACCTTGACTCGTTATTACCTTGGACTTTTCCGTCTTGCTCTTTTTGCCACATGGGCTCCGTTTCGTTTGGCGCATCTCCTTGCCTGTGGTATTACTCCATTCACTGCTGCTCGTCAACTGGAACAGTGATCGGAGATATTCTCCTGTTGGTGAATGTCGATGTTGGCTTCCCACGCGTTTCTATTTCATTCTTGTGTGTGCTATCAAAAAATATGATTAAAGGAGACATGGGCATAAAAATCGAACAAAGCCTAAAAAATTTTGAGATAACACTTGAGGTTCACAAAACTATGATATTTATAATAGGTGTGTGTTCTGTGCAAATTTTTTTTCTAATGAAATCACGTTCTGTCCTTTATAATACGTCCCTATTCAAAACAATGTCTATATAAAAAGCAATGTCCACTTAACCACAACTCCCTATTCATAATTAAACACCACGTCCCTATCAAACACCACGTCCCTATCAAACACCACGTCCCTATCAAACACCCCGTCCCTATCAAACACCACGTCCCTATCAAACACCACGTCCCTATCAAACACCACGTCCCTATCAAACACCACGTCCCTATCAAACACCACGTCCCTATCAAACACCACGTCCCTATCAAACACCACGTCCCTATCAAACACCACGTCCCTATCAAACACCACGTCCCTATCAAACACCACGTCCCTATCAAACACCACGTCCCTATCAAACACCACGCCCCTATCAAACACCACGTCCCTATCAAACACCACGCCCCTATCAAACACCACGTCACTATCAAACACCACGTCACTATTAAACACCACGTCCCTATTAAACACCACGTCCCTATCAAACACCACGTCCCTATCAAACACCACGCCCCTATCAAACACCCCGTCCCTATCAAACACCACGTCTCTATCAAACACCACTTCCCTATCAAACACCACGTCCCTATCAAACACCACGTCCCTGTCAAACACAGTGACCTGCAAGCACCATCGCTCGCCTCGCATCAACCGATGACTAAATAAGGACAACGTCTCTGACACCACATTCAGTAGCTCTACGATCTCCTTCTCCAATGACCAAGAAATGGATCCATCAAGTTCAACGCTTCTCAAAATATTCTACTCATGGCAACCCTCTGACCTTCAAAATGGTTTCGATTTTTTAAATTCTATTTTCACTGTTATTGTTTCTCACTTTTACTTAACCTAACAATTTAAAATAACTTATTACAGCCATTTAATTTCTTTTTTTTCTTCTCTTTTTGGGGGGGGGGGGGGGGAATGGGGGGGGAGAGGGTTTGGGAAAGATTTGTTAACATTATAGTTTGATATTTAATATTTTGATTTTATATTTTTTAAATATAATTTTTGATATTATATTTTGATTTTTGATATTATATGTTGATATTGTATTTTGTATTTTGATATTGTATTTTGATATTATATTTTGATATTATATTTTTTGTCTCATTTTTGTTACCTTATCAATATTGAGAGTTAACTCCTTTCTATCAAGTCATTTGTATACGGAAAACGTTAAAATATTATTTATTTTTTATTCTTGAAAATTAATTTCAAACGGGCTCATCATAAAAAAGATCATTGGCGTTGTTGCTTTCATGGTTTTCATTATTATTGTAATATTGAAAATTGTCTCTACTGCTGAAGAAAATATTTCGTGCCGGAATCGGTCTCATCGGCCGTCTTCACGACGGCACACAAGGATTGCCTAATGGAAGTAGTCAAGGGCGTCCTCACCAAGGCGATGGGAGAGTAAAAGACATGACATTGTCTTGTGACCAGTGGCGTAACTAGGGCTGGGGGATGCCCCCCGGGTGGGTTAATATATTTTTTTTGCCACCAGCTTCCATGGAAAAATAAATCCTCTGCAATCGACTGAAAATGGCGCCTATCAAATAAAGGAGCAAAAAACAAACCGCCCCCCAACGTTAAAAAAAGGGGGTTGGGGTGGGAAGGGGCGCTCACTCCGCACTCCTCCTCCTACGCCTCCGGTTGTTGGTCCTTGTTGTTTTTGCTTTTTGCTGTTTTTTTTGTTTTGTTTTTCAGGTTGTATTTTTGCTCATAAAAATCACCATTTTGTTTGTTCCATTTAAGGACATCTTTATTCATTAATCGCCACAGGCTATAAAGCCCCAATCCTAGAACCCCCCCGTGTTAGATGGTTTAGACCTTGAAAAGGGAGACGGCGCGATGGGGTGAGTGGCAGACAAGTGGAAAAGACCGCGTCATATTTGGCGAGTCCATTGTTAGGGGAACGAGATCGTCGGCTGGCGTCTATGGAACCGCCGGCCAGCTTGGGATTCGATTCAGGTTTTCATATGATTAAAACTGGCGCTGGAGTCATCGGCTGGACAAATAGAGGAGTGACAGACATTGTCACCTGATGGAGATGAAAATATGAACTCGGCGGGAGGAACTAATATCAGTCTGTTTAGTGGTGTTTTTACCTCCCCCCCCCCTCTCTTTTTTTTCTTCTCCCCCGTTATTGGCTTGATTTTTTTAGTTCTACAATAAAGTGATCGCGCCTTTGGTCAATGAGAAACGTTCAGAAATTAATATTTTGTGTTGCCCATTCATCGTGTAAGAAAGTGACTGAAAGTTCGAAACATAATCAAATAATGGCTAGTTATTATGCCATAGGGCCAGGGTCGTCGTATTTCTGGACTTATGCAATGGGGTGCTTCACCTGGGGCCAGGTCCATTTGGAATATTCTTCAGCGGTTCATGAATGCAGGGGTGGACTGGGGAGTTCAAGCGGCCCGGGGAAAAAAAAAACAACAAAAAGCGGGCCTATCTTCATGACGTTTATTTTTATTATATCACCGGTCCTAGCGGCCCATCGGGAATCTTCCCGGTGTCGCGGCGGCCCAGTCCACCCCTGCATGAATGTTTAAATAAGAGTCGTGTACCACTGAATACTCAGTGAAAACGGAAATTTAGTATTCAGGCCTGACGCAGGCTTTGGTCACACATCAAAACCAAATAAGTTTAAAACCTTTATTTTAATATTCCCAGTGAGAATGCGTTGGTAACATTTACGATAAGAAATACGACTTATATTTTCGTTAGAGAATGGTGGACCTATATATGAGGGAGTTGTTTGGGGGGAGGGGGTCAGACTGAAGTCCATTTAGGAGGAACAAAATTAATATTTAAAAGAATTTTACGTTATAACTGCTACGGCAGATGTTGGCTGGTTCAGATATGGAAAAAAAAAAGTAAATAAATAACGTGTCACATTTTGTGGAAACCAGTAATGATGATTGTCACATTCCAATGTTTAATCGTGTCCTTTTCACAATGACATAATGAAGTATATTTACACATTTACATAATGGAGTATATTTACACATTTTTTCTGTATTTGAATGACGAAGATTTACGCCATTGTGACGTCAGGTGGGAACCCTATCATCGCGTGCACTGGGATATTGGTGGACAACAGCAACACGAGACGCTTTGTATTCGATGACCGGAAGGAGATTTACTACAGGGCGGAGGTGCAGAACAGGGTGTACAAGCGGGAGTTGGTTGAGGTGAGGTCAATGAGTGTTTAGGTCAGGGACAAGACTGACACTTCCGCACTGCAATGAGGCCCTGGTTGAGCTTTTAAACTTAATGAGCATATGAAATATTTACACCCGTGGAAGGTGGCTGGGTTTAGGATAAAACCCCGATGAAGGTGGCTGGGTTAGGGTAAAGTCCCGCAGAAGATTGATGGGTTAGGATAAAGACCCGTGGAAGGTCGCTGGGCTAGGATAAAGCCCAGTGGAAGGTCGCTGGGTTAGAATAAAGTGGCTTATAAGGGACCATTCATAAAATACGCCACGCTATTTTTGATATTGTTTTACACCACCCCCCCCCCCTGTCCCAATCTATCACGTCCCCCCCAAATCACCCCACCCCCATGTACGTCACAATTCCAAAAAAAAAATGTTTTAAAAGTTAACAACTAATTAAGATTCAATCTAAAATACACTTTACTATTAAAATTAGATACTTTTAAATGACAATGGGCGCCCGCACCATTAGTCAAGGTTGGTTATAAGAACAAAGAATAGTAAATATATTAACATGTGCACTTTGTTATTAGCCAGATGTAAACAGAATTGAACTTTAAAAAAAAAAAAAAATAAATAATTTTACTTTGCTATCTAGAAAAGTGACCAATCGTTGAACGGCCCAGTTACTTCCGCCTGTTACATGGACATATTTAAAATAAAGTCGTCCCTCATTTATCGCGGCCAATCAGTTCGAGACTCTATACATAGCGCGATAAGTGAATTCCCGTAAAGTGTGAACCTTTATTTATAAATCGAATATTTGTTTAGTTAAAGCATAGAAAACCTGTTCACAGACCTCCAAATATAGTCTTTAACATCATTAGACCCTCTGGGGATACTCGAACAAACAGGCCTATAGTACATACGTATAGTAAGTTTAATTATAATTATAATACATGGAAGTCTAATTGACTCAGACAACCGAGCACGAGCTGTATTCCTTTTAACTTTCTCCATCAACTTTTTAATGAATACATGTGATATTTGAAGGGGAAAAAAACCGCTATAGAGTGAAGCCACGAAAGTCGAAGCGTGAAGTGGCGAGGGGACGACTGTACACTGCGTGAAAGCTAAAGTTGTGACTTCAATAATATCTTACGAATTTAATTACACAACAGACACACACACACACACACACACACAAAAATAGCACACATGTTCCTACCTCAGCTTGATCAGAAAATAGAGCGTCTCGAGAGGCTGTTGGAGCTACCCATTCAGAACCACACGAGGCTGACCGACGAACTCCTGTACCTGTTGCCCGAGTCCAAGGTGGATGGGACCCCCAGGTGTCATAGGCGGTACAAGACGGAGCTAGAGAGGTAAGGAGAACATGTGAAGTGGTGAGACGGAATGCGGCCATGACAGTAAGGCTGCGACACCGACGACTTCACCACAAAAAAAAAAAAGGGGGGGGGGGGGGGGGTGAGTGGAGTCTAAGACGTCATAGGGATCTTGAAAAGGGAAGTTATAAAGGGGGCACTTGTTATGCTAGTGTTCAGATGTTTCTTTTAAAAAATATTATTAATAACATTTTGGACGATTTTCTGGTGATAGCATCTTCTTCGTTCACTGCCTTAAAAAAAAGGACCTTGCAAAGACACGGGTTTATCATTGTTGGCAAATAATTAATTCACTCAATGTGATGTCAATAATTTTTAAAACAGTAGGTCTACTGTTTACTGACCATCGTCTTCACAAATATTTTGTACTTCCCAGTGTCATGTGTTAAGAGACGGTAATTGATTATGGGGGAAATGGGGAGGGGCCTATTTAAAAAAAAAGATTTTTCAATTAATATTATATTTAGGAGAGTTTGTTGAAAGAATGTCACCAAATTAACCAACGTTTAAAACCCGTCATTTCACAACGAAGCTACCAAACCATTTATTCTCAGAATCAGACACATGGTCACACCGCTCTTCAAGGTGCTCAGATCTACGTAAATAGTTATTCATAAGTCTTTATGTTCATTTTAATTAGACAATGTATGAATCATGCATTCGTTTCGCTTCCGCCCCCCCCCCAACCTCAATAAAAACAAAACCCTTTCATTATCTCCGTTTCAGATGTCACTCGATATCAGATGGTGGCGAGGGCGTCATCTACGACGCCACCGAGAACGACGACATCCTGATGGAGATGGGATTCACAGCCGACTTCCGTCCAACGCCACCTGCCAAAAAGCGCCACCACTCGGGTGACTTGTCCAGGGTTGGGACGAAAACGCTCCAGAAACTGACCCGTAGCTTAAGCATTGGCGGCGGGGGTCGGGCAAGGAGGAAGAGGAAGTGCCGAGATCCGAGCAAAGCTCTCACCCCGTTCTCGGCATCTGAAATAAACGTGATGAAATGCGGGGATTCTGGGGATGGACCAGGTATAGGGAAACTGCGAACAGGGAAGCAGAAGTCGGGAAGGTATTCAGAAGACTTATCGTATTTATACAGCGATACTCTGTTGAACATTCCGGTGAATTGTGGGCACAGCTCATCATCGGTCCCCATGCTGGACAAAGTGACGCAGACCAACGGTGGCGCATCTCTTCAAGAGCTCGAGGGTGTAAGTGTTGATTTCGGGAGCCGCTTGTCGTCTGCGAAAAGAGATGAGGTCGCAGGTCATGCAAACGATGCGTGCTACGAACTTCTACCGGAAGCCAGAGATCGTGAACGGGGAAAAGAAAGATCGGGACCAGAAGAAGATTCACATGGCAGCGGGAAGCCGGGCTGTCACTTACATCTGATTAACTCCAAACAGGGACAGCTGTTTGCCGTGCAGCGGCTCCACATTGAGCTGGTAGAAGAAGACAGCAACAGCACGAGCAACAACGAAGACGCCGAAAGTCTTGCCGGCTCGGCTAACGGCAGCGGCGATGTGAACAATATAACTTCGGATGTTTCCGGAGATTTATGCGCACACCAACGAAAATCAACGACTCGACCTCTGCACAGAACAGCCGCCGTTTGTAACAGTGAGCCTGTGACGTGGTACGAAAGAAACCACCGTCTGTCGTCTTCGCCTTGCCACAAGCGCAGCTCACCCCACACTTACCTCCAACCGTATGAAGAATTCGATGTTATGCAAGGGCGTTCTAGAAGCATCAGCACACCGGATCAACCAAAAGCGACGCGTTCGGAGCAAACAGTCGCCCCCTCACCTGAAACGCCCACGGGTCTGTTACCAACAACGACTTCATTTCCCCTCCATTATTCTAACCCTTCGTGCCTCTGTAAAGAATTTGTTCATTTTATCCAAGCTGAGACAAGAGCTCAGCCTCCGCCTGATGATTATCTCCGCTACAATCTCCTCACAACGTCCCCCAGAAGGTCGCCCGTTAGTGTGCGTGTCGCCCAATCTAAATTACAGGAAGATAACCCGAAAAAATCAAATGGTACTGAACTCTGCACATTATCTGGCCTTTTATCGTCGACAAAGTCGTTATGTTCAAACGTGAGTTTAGTGTCCTCGCAATCGCCTGAGCACGGTTGTCTGTTGATACACAAATCTGGCTGCCCTCTTGCGGGAAACACTTTACAAACCGCACAAAACCAATCTTTAGAATGGGAGCCACATTTTTCGTCGCTAATAGAGTCTAATTCTGTAGATTCTCAAGAAATCGACACGGATGCAGCACGGGTAATGTCCTCGACCCTTCATACCCCAATCCGAATGTCAGGGGTTGAAGTTCAGAGGTCGGTGTTAGAATCTGAACGAAGGCAGAGGATACACAAACTTCAAACAGATTTAAAGAAAATTCAGATGGAGCTAAAAGATCTCACTGACATAGATTGTGATACATCAGAGGTCTGACATAGGCTTGTCTTTATTGTAACAAAGTGTTGCTTCTTTCCCATGTAAGAAATGGTTACCGGAAATTTGTTTGAAAGAAATTTCGTCGACTGAAAATTGATCTACGGAAATCTGATCCTTCAACTTCAAAAAGAAATTTGAAGCAAAATTAGATCGTGTGAAGTGAACAAAGAATTTGACCAAATTTCCGTTCAATCAAATTTCCGTAGATCAATTTTCCGTCGACGAAATCTCTTTCAAACAAATTTCCCAATAGGCCTACAATAAGAAATGCTAAAGCAGATTTTAAAGTACAGATTAAAAAAATTATATTTGGAGATATAGCCTATAAACGTGAACGGTAGCCTATACTATATAATATCGAAGTCACATTTAAGTGTATCGTGTCACAGTGATACTTCAAAGAAATCTTGTCGGCTACTGCATGTAGGGCCCTAATGAAATAAGGTGCATTTTTGTTATTTACGCCCTCCACCACCCCAAATCCACCTTGTTCATCTCGTTAACATTTAGGGTCGTCCGTACTAACTTCACACATTGTAACAGGCTGAATTTAACCCTCCACACAGTTAAGTGATACTTGCAAAATGAATGGTGTAAAGTTTAATTTTTTTTTTTTGTATTTACTCAAGAGAAAAAGCTCTTTTTAGAAGTGTTTTAGTTTTTATTTATTGGCGGCAGGGTAGAATTTGTTTTTTTGTAATAGTTTGCGATATTTTACTATTATGACTAAAGATTTTTTTAAGGAAAAAAAAAGGGGGGGGGGTGGGGTTTAAGATATTCATTGTAACACGCACTTAAAATTTCAAGTCTTCTTTCCTTTGGTATTTGTTATTCTTAATTTTGTTACCCTCTAAACACAAAATGCACATCTGTAATAAGTGTCTATTAATAAGGAGAAGTTAGTAAGTCATATAGTATAAATTATATGGATGTTGGGAATAGAATCTCAAAGACTAAATAAATCATAGAATTTTCTGGATGTTTGAAGATATAGCCTACTTAATGGTTTGATTTTTTTTTTCATACATACCGGTATTTGGTTGAGTATTTATACTTCTTAAAAAAGAAAAATTATTATCAGGCTATACAGTTCTTTATTTTATCCTAATTTGTGTGAATGTCTTAAAATGGATACAAATCTATACTGATCTGTCTTTTATTGTAAGTTGCCTCAAGTCACTTCCATGGGTTGTAAGAAAGATTAAATTTAAAGTGATCTATTTAACGTGATAGTTTTATGCAAAATTAGTTCCATATAGATATAAATCTCCTAACTTTAAATTCATACCATTTTTTTGTTTTGTAAGGTATTTAAAAAAATATTTGATAAACAACTGGTGATAAACATGATTTTTTTTTGGTCAACTGAAATAAATAAATTTTATGATAATGATACATCTTTGCTTTTTTGTATTTGTAGTTTATTCACAATCTTATTTCTCAAAATTTGTAAAGTTGGTCTGAGCAAATTATGTTTTTTGTTGCAAAGAATGGATGTTGCGCTCTAAGAATGACCTCATCTTTCTATTTATATTTTGTGGGCTAATTTAGGTTGCGATGTTTTAGTTGCATTGCTTGTGGTAATTCTTGCCTTATGTCATTAAATTTCTTGGGCAATGAAAGTGGATGAAAGCAGTAAATTATTAAGATGTATGAAGTGTTCCTTACTGAAGAACAGAACAATAATTGGTTATGCTAAGAGTGTTCTTCAGTAGGTATATTAAACAAGGCCTATGCAACAAAATTGAAAATTTTAACAACAACTATAACCTATAAAAAGGAGCTTAATTTCAATTTTTAACTTTTAATAACTTAGTTGCTTAGCTCATGTACAACAAAATGAATCGCTCTTCTCTGAAAGTTGTTTTTTTCCCTTGATATATGCAGACAAAAAAGTGACAACACTTTGTAAACACCATGCAGTTGGTCATGACACATACTAAAACAAACAAAAATTAATTGATTTTTACGCGTAGGCACCATGAAAATTGAGGGGGAAAAAATATGTGAACATAAAATCTAGATTTAAAATTAAATTTCTGAAATTGGTTACAAAAAAACTGAAATATGGAAATTCAAAAAATTAATGTCAAGAATAACTAGATCATTACTAGCACATATTTAAAATTGTACCATGAAGATATTTTGTTAATTTTTGTGTGTTAAAAAAACCTTCTTTGAATGTAGTTTTTAAAAATTGGAAGATAAGCTTATACTTACTTAAAGGACAGTCATTCCAAAACACATAATAATGATTTGAAAAATATATGGAAATATAATATGTAAATTCACAAATAATAATAAACAAATCTAACTACAAGCTACTCGTGTTAACAACTTTTCAATACCTTGTTTCAGGCTATAAATCAACTGAACAGGCAACCGTAATTTAGAAATAATAAGTGACCCATATTTAAAAAGTTATTTTTTATCCTGCTTGAAAGACTTGTAGTTATGCGGAAAATCTTGTATTCAACCAAAGACATTTAATGTCAATGTGTTTGTTCAAAGCTGAGTAATTTTTGTGAGTTTATAAAACATGTAAACATTCATGATAAAGATTATGCTGTATGGTCATCTTCAAAATTTACATAAGGCGTTTGAATATCGTCTCTGTGACTGACAAAGTGAGTATGATCCCTTGCTGTGTAGCTAACACTGAAATTATGTCCCCTTGATTCCAGTCCAACAATGTTGACTGTGTCCCCTTCATCATCAAGTTTTGTCAACGTGTCCTTGTGGGTAGCCTCGTACAAGCTGTTCTCAAAATTCTTCACCTTGGATGCCTCATGACGAAGAAAAGATGATTTGAAAACATTGTGACGCCTGGCAGTGATGACGGCAACAATGACAACAATGATGACTGCTGCCAAAACACCAAGGACGATTCCTGCAACGGCTCCCCCGCTGATGCCGCTGGAACCTGAAATATTTCATCAAGTTAAACATTTTAAAAAATTTGTTTTTGTTTCTCAAAAGTGCTAATGAAATAGTTTTTACACAAGCTGCATGGTTTAACAGTAAGTTTCATTGGTTATAACTTAACACCGCAAACAAGAGTTTTAACTTTATGTCAGCCACTGGACCTGATGCATATCACATAGTTCATATAGTCAAAAAATAAAAACAGTAAATTTTACTAAAAGATTAATTTTCCTCTCCTCATTATTTCATTGTCAAATACATGAAATCATTATAAATGTTTAGGATGTCTTAAACATGCATGAAAATGTGTTGTAAGTTTTGTGTCTGCTGGTCTGTGTTACATTGTCTTTGAAATATGGAACTAGAACAGAAAAGGGGTGATAACTCATATAGTGTATAGTTATCCAAACATCTATGTATTCTTCTTGATGATTACAATTTAAATTGGGAGAAAGCTTCGCAGCATGAATGAGCTAAGAACATAGAATATTTTGATTACGGCATATTTTTAAAAATCATTCTGAATAGAATCAAAAGTAAAAAAAAGGATTAAACGCTTTCATTAAATGATTTTTAAAATAATATATTTCCTTCTTTGCAGTGTACACCTCATATTAATCTCATCAGGATTTATTTCTTTGCAAATTGCTGTGAATGACCAGGACTTTATAAGCGTGGGTTAATTTTTTAACCATCTCTCAGAATAACTGGTCAGGTAATGGGTAATTAAACTTCAGCATTACTGCTGGATTAACTAAGAGTCTGGTGTATTCCAATTGAAGGACTTACCTGATGCCTGCCCTCCCAGAGTTGTGGGTGGGGCAATAGTGGACCCAATGTTGGAGGGCCCAAGCGTCGTTTTGCTGGGTGATGGCGTCTGGGGTGTGGTGATGGGCACTGGTGGTGTGGACGCTGCTGTAGCTGCAGTTGTCGTGACCACCGTGAGACCACTCTGTGTGACACTCACTGGAGGTAGTGTCACTTGATTAGTGACAAATACTTTGTGGAAAATAAGTTAAAGAGAAATCAATTAGCTTTCTCATAAGTCATTTTTCGTTTATGGAGTTTTAATTTTTAAATAAATTTTGCCAAAAAAATCAAGATCACCAAGATCTTAAGCCCACCAGACTTAAAAGTATTTTAGTCACATTATTTGAAGATTTCTCTACGAATTGTTTCTTAGAAAAGTAAAATTAATATAATTTAAGTTGATCCCTTTAAGTGATAAGTTCATGATAAGACATTGCTAAACAGTGATTTAAAAGAACTTGAAAGCAGCCGTTATTCTGTTATGTATCTCTGAAATACTGGCTTCGTAAAGTGTTCACCTTTTGGAGCCTGGCAAAGGTAACCATATTTATCTTCACAAAGCCTGTTCATCCAGTTCCCATATTTCGTTGTAGTTACACAGCCTTCCTCCACCTCAGCTTTTCCTGACCAAGCTGGCTGACCGCTGGCCCACTGGGTGAACTCTAAAGGTGACCCATCTTCCCAGCTGAAGCCCTCTGTGATGGGACCAACATAAATTAGATGAGAGGAGTTTTACAATTATTTTATCAGGCTAACATTAGCTTTTTACTCTTGAAGAGAAACCAATGAATGTTATTAATTTCAATCATACTTTAACTTTATTTAATCAATTGTATTAAAAGCAGAAGCGTAGCGAGGGTGTTTGGCTCCCAAGGACAAGATTCGCGCCGGTGACAAGATCCATTTTAAAGCGCCCCCTTTTCTTTTATCCAACTCTCAAACCCATTATTTTTACCAATAATATAATATCAAAGCACGTTTTGGCGCCCCTAACTAGCGGGGACATCTGTCCCCCACCTCACTACGCCTCTGATTGAAAGAATCAAGGGCCTCTGGCAATTAAAAATCCTACACTTTAATTGGCAATATTCTGTCAGTGAAAAAGATGCTAAATTGCATGCTGAGATGTTAAACTGAATGAAAAGACACAACAAATCAGAAAAATGTGGTGAGCCACAGGCACTGCAGATGTGAACCCATGCCAAGTGGTCAAACCAACCATGAATAGATTCCTTCAGCCCAATCCATATGACTTGATTGTCTGTCAAATTCAACTGGAGACTGGAATCATGAATGGATGCCAGTGTGGCTCCTCTGTTGAGGCAGTCACTGGCAGCCATGTTGTAGGAGAAGGTTTGATTCAGCACCAGCAGATAGCAGGCATTGCCTTGCATGGTGAAGTCACTGTTGGCACAGTTACCACCAGGAGGTATAGTGGGAACAGTTGGAGGTGCTGTAGAAAATGAAAAAAAAAAAAAAATTCTTTAAAAAATACGGGTAATAAGATGGAGTGACAATAAGACTTCACGAAACATGAACTGAAAAGTTTAAAAAATAAAATTAATTTACAAGTTCTCTTCTGTGGAATCTTTTTCGATTCAATTCAAATCTGAATTGATTTTTATTTGGGATTTATAATGTGTATGTTGATGATAAAAAATAAATAGGATTTTTAAAAATATGTTGTATTTATGAAGTTATGTCGACAACGTTTTTAGTTTTATTCATATTCAGCCTTTTTAATATAAACTTTATGCATCTATAATAATACACACAGTATGATGCAAAGGCTAGTTTTATTGAATTTTACAATACATAATTCAACATAATTTTTTGAGAAATTTTTAACATGTAGAAGACTTATATTAAATGTAAGGAGCACTGAGATCTTATACACACCATCATCATATCTACACATGAATGGTTTCAGATCACTGCAGGGTCC